TGACCCAGCAATACCACTTCTAGGTCTGTATCCCAAAGAGATCATAAAATGGGAAAAGGACCCACATGTACAAAAATATTTATAGCAGCTCTTTTTGTGGTGGCCAAGAATTGGAAATTGAGGGGATGCCCATCAATTGGGGAATGGCTGAACAAGTTGTGGTATATGAATATAATGGAATACTATTGTGCTATAAGAAATGATGAGCAGGCAGACTTAAGAAAAAGCTGGAAAGATTTAATTTCTCTCTAAGACTGTAAGTTGAAGATCTATATTGGTAGAGGGAGTTTTCTTAGCATGAGTTCCCTACACCACTGAAATTACATTTTATAAAAAAAAAGGAATCCATAAGGTGGTGGACTGAGGATTTGCCCTGATCCCATTTTTCAGAACTGACCTTGCACTGGTGTCTCTGTGCTCTCTCTCAGGTGAAGACAAGCTCCATGTCACTTGTCCCAAGTGTAAAAATTCCAAGTGATATCTGTGGAGTATAAGTCATCTAGTCCAAAGCCTTCATTGGAACAGGTGGTACAGTGGAGAGAGCAGGAACTGGAGTCAGAAAGACCTGACTGGCCTCACTTACTATCTGTATGACCTTGGGCAAATCACTTAACCTCTGCCTCAATTTCCTCAACTCTAAAATGGGTATAATAATAGCACCTGCCTCCTAGGGTTATGAGGATTAAATGAGAAATTAATAAAGTGCTTAGCATGGTACCTGGCATATGGTATGTACTTAATAAATCCTTTCTTCCTCCCTTCTCTCCTTCTTCCTCTCTCTTTCCTTTTGTGTGAGACAGTGATGACCCTTACCCAAATTAATTCAGAGGCTTCTCCAGGTAGAAAGTAGAAAGGATTTTATTTCGAACTCGAGAAAGGGCGACTCACACCGAAAGCAGTTTGATGCAAGACCGCAGGTGCTATCAGCCAAACAAACATTTTTATAGGTTCTAACCGCAACTCCTCCCTAGCCCGTACCTCTTACGCCATTGGCTGGGCTTCAGAGGGCACAATCTAAACACGAAAAAACTACCCCAGCAATAGCAGAGGAAATTACAGAGTTGTTCCATCGGTTACACCTGCCTCCCACTCCTTCAAGTATCCTCTTTAGTACATCCTGTTTCTGTTAATTTCAGATCCTGGAATAATTTGTGGTGGTGATTATTTTCGCAACAATTTGAACATATCCGTCCGGGCTATTTACAAGCTTCCTGACCTGGGCACACATATACACACATATTATTATTATTAGGGGTCTTTACCTTATTTTACTTATTGAAGTTTAAATTTTATGAAGGGTCTTCACCAATCTCACTCACTTCTTTCCCTCCCTCTCTTCCTCTTTCCCTCTTCCCTCCTTCCTTCTTTCCCTCCTTCTTCCTTCCTTTCCTTCCTTCCTCCCTCCCTCTCTCCCTCCTTTCCTTCCTTCTTTCCTCTCTTCCTATCTTCCCTTCCTCCTCAATGAGAAAATTGAGACTAAGAAAAAAGAAGAAACTCACTGATGGGTCACAGGGGCAGAAAATTGGCCAAGATGGAATTTGAATTGAGATCCTGTGACTTTGAATCTAGTGAGTTCTCTTTCCCTTGCAAAAGAAGTATTACATAGTTTTCTTCATTGCAAAAGTACTTTTGTTTGTTTGTATAATTTAATTAGATCCTTGCCCATTTTATAATGAGGAAACTGAAGCCCTGAGAAGGTAAGTGACTTCCTGGTTGTAGAACCAGGTCTTTTAGTGTTCAGAGGCAAGACAAAAGTCAAAACAACTAGCGATGGCCCAGGATGCAGGGGCTGAGCTTGGCATCTTCAATGTCTGATCAAGCTCTGAGCACTCCTGTTCGTTTACTCCCCCATGCTGACCTCTTTTAGGGTCATGGCCTTCAAAACAGAGGTGGCCACCACGCTCATCCCCCTCCTGCACCATTCAGATATTCTCCTCAAGCTTGTTCTTCCTACTTCCTCAGGGCATAAGTATAGCCTTCACTCATCACACATCTTAACTTTAACTGGGATTCTATTTTCCTGACTACTCTGTCAAGGGAGCAACAGGGGACCCATAAAAGAACACTATAACTTTCTCATTGCTCATCTGTATCAACTCTTTTATTGCTGTCTCAGAGAGCTGATCTCATGTGGTTATTGCTCCATCAGGCACTGACATTTAACTATGAAATTAAGAGAACAGGCAGCTTTCTTTCCTACTCTTCCTCCCCTGCTGGAGATTCAGAGTTCAGAATGGTTGCACTTGTTGATACAACCAAAGCACTCTTGTAGGCTCCCTGTGGCAATCTTTTGTCTTCGAAAATGGCGCATTTTGTGTTACGTAATCTTCAGGATGTTTTGGAAAGTCTTTTAGAAGTCTTTTGGTGACAGATCTGGGTCAGGCTTGATTCAACCATGTGACTAAAAACTAAGCAAGCTTGGCGAGTTTGTACTTTCACCCATTTCCATTCCAGTGAATAAATGTGAAGTGCCTACTATGTGTAAGGCACTGGGTGTGTGAAAATCAAACAAAACTGCTCTTTCCTCTAAAGGAGTTTACATTCTACTGTTGTTGTTGGTGGTGGGAGCAAAGGGGATGGGATACAATACATAAACAGATTAGCATATACATGATAAAACTTTTTACTATATAATGTCTCTTTTTAAATTAATTTTATTTTTAAAATAAGTTTTTATTGATATCTTTTGTTTTTTACATCATCGTAGTTTTCCACAGGATCTGTACCCTTCCCACTCTCAGAGAGCTATCCCATATAACAAATGACATTTTTGAAAGAAAAAGAAAGAAAAAAGAAAAAAATCAGCACAACTTAGCGATACATTGAAAAAGTCTGAAAACATGCACAATGTACAAGACCTGTGGACCTCCCACCTCTGTGAGGGTGTTCTCTCATATCTCTTCTTTTGAGTCATACTTGATCTTTATAATTTTGAAAGAAATTAATTTTTAAAGTTCCATACGTAGCTCCCCCCCCCATTGAGCATTTCCATATACAAAGCTAAACAGAAAAAAAATTTCATATAAAATGACAAAAGTGTACTAGGTACAGCTTACAGACAGGATGTTTGAGGTGAGAGACAGCACTAATAACCAAGAGGATCAGGACAGGAGTCCTCTAGGAGAGACCTCATGAGCCTTAAAGTGAGCTAGGTTTTCCAAGAGTCATGGAAGAATGTTCCAGGCATGGCAGGGACTGGTTGTGCAAAGGCAAGGAGGTGGGAGATAAGAGTGCTGAGTTCAAGGGATAGCAAATAAACTACTTTGGCTGGAACATAGAGTATATGAAGGAGACTCATATGTGGTAAATGTTGAAGGATAGTTTAGAACCAGATTGGGAGGGGTTTTAAAAACCAAGTTGAGGGGGCTTGTATCTTATAAAATAGGGATACATTTGGCATATTCCATAATATATGCAATATGATATACAATATATACAATATCTCATACAGTAGGCAATAGGGAACCACTAATGAGGGTTCTTGAGCAGGCTAAGTACCATGGTCAGGTTTATGCTTTAGTAAGATTATATTGGCAGCTCCTTAGAGGAGGGATTGGAGTGGGGAAAGACTGGAAGTCAGAAGTCTAGACTATTAATGAGTGACCATTCATTTTATGACCATAATATTATCACTCACCAATAATAGTTCATAATTCTACAATACTTTGAAGTTTCTCAGGTGCTTGCCTAACAATAACCTGTGAGCTGGGTAGTTCAGCTGCCATTTTTCCCATTTCATAAATGAGGAAAGTGAGAATTACGGAGCTGAAGTAGTTTGTTAATATACATCTGAGAGGGGCCTCAAACCATGTCTTTTGATTTCAAGACCAATGTTCTTTGCATTGGACCTCACTGCCTTTTAAGATAGAGTTAGTTATGTATGGCCCTTGCCTGGAGAGCCCCTGGTTTAAATTGGAAAAAGATGGGAATCAGCACAGAAGAGCTACCTCCATATTTTGTAGGTTGGAGAAAAATGCTGTGTGCTAAACTCATCTGCAAGAGTTCATTAGACAAACATGGGACCTGAAGTAACGGGACCTTGGGGCATTTTTGAATTGCTTCCTTCCTCCCAATAACCTCATTGGTAGGAGCCCTGAAAGTTTGATGATAAACGGGATCATTAGCACTGTGTGAAAGGAAAATAATGTGAAGGGGAAAATAGGACCATTTTTCTTGAGATTTTTGCCCAAAGGGCAAGGAGGCCTCCTTTTTTTATCTTGTACCACCCTTTATCCTTGTCCTTTTTGTCTGGTCTTCTTAGGCAAAACATGGGATACAGAAAAGATTGTTCCGATTTTCTTGGGGGAACATTGAGTGCTCTTAGTCATGTTAAATTCATGCCAAATCTGGTTATACCACAGGCCTCTGACCTGGGGCATAGTTTGCATAGCATTATTTAGAGCTGAAATGGACCTTAGAGGCCATTGAATCCAACCCTTTCTTTTTACAGATGAGGAAACTGAGGCACAGAGCGGTTAAATAATTTGCTTCCTGAGGCAAGATTTGATTCCAGGTATTCCTCATTCTAAGTCCAGTGTTTAATCCCTAGGCCATTTCATCTTTTAAACATATTCCCTTCTAAGAAGCAGCTAGGTGGTGCAGTGAATAGAGCACTAGCCCTGGAGTCAGGAGGACTTGAGTTCAAATCTGGTCTCAGACCAGACATTTCACACTTACTAGCTGTGAGACCCTGGGCAAGTCACTTAACCCTGATTGCCTCACCACAAAAGCAAAAAATAAATAAATAAAAAATAAACATATCCCCTTCTGACCTCTATATCTAAGCTACGTGACTCTGGGACAGATCATAGGATTCTAAGATTTAGAATTGGAAGGTAGCTTAGAGGTTATCTAAGCTACCCCTTTATTTTACAAAGGAGGAAACTAGGCCTACAAGGGAGAAGTGATTTGCCAGAGACCAGTGGTAGCAAATGATAGAGCTGAGATGTGGCAAAGTGCTTTCCTGTCTATAGTAACAGGAGTTATCTGTCTGTCTCTAGGCACTGAAAGGGTCCAAGAAGCTAATCTTGTCTGTGCATTCTGTCGGACGCATCCCAGGGGGCTACGTCACCAATCACATCTATACCTGGGTGGATCCTCATGGCCGAAGCATCTCTCCCCCTGGGGGTCTTCCCCAGCACCAGAGCAGCTCCCTCCGGAGGCAGGAAGGGGAGAGGAGGAGCATCCTGCAGTTTCTTCCAGAGGGAGATGAGAAAAAGGTAAACAGTTTTATCCCTTCCACATTTCAACTTTTCCCTATCTTGGTTTCTATATATCACAGATTGGCATAAGAAATTAAAAGGGAATTTTTGGGGAGTTTTGCAGAAGCCGCAGACAACAGGCAAAGGCCAGTAGACAATACAGAAAAAGTTTAGAAACTCAGAAATGCAAAAATATATGTACAGTATTGTATAATATCAACATATTTTATCTTTTAATAACACAGTCAGATTTCTTCTCTAGTGCAAGGGGAGGGCCAAAAACTTTTACATGGATTTTTCAGATCACTGGGGTGCTGTGCCCCTAGACCCCTCAATGTGGAAGGGATAACTATAGATGGAACCCAGGTTGCCCAAGGTTTCCTTTTCTTTATAATAATAGGAATGAAGTGGTTTTCTGGTACAACATTCCCTACCTGTTGAAGTCCTACACAGTTAGAATTTGAAAAAGGAGGGGGTAGATCCAGTCTAGACGTAACTATCTATTCCCAACCCTGGATGTCCTGGAAGTCGAAGCAGTAAGCCTTAGCCTGAGCTTGTTTTCAGTACCCCTTATAGCTACATTTGTCCCCTGTGGCCTAGAGAAACACAATTCCCAGAGTTGGAAGGGACCTCAGAGGTCATCCTGTCCAAGCCCCCTCTACCTGAGCAGCAGATGACATCCTTGATAAGTAGTCATCCAGTCTCTATGGAAAGGCTCCAAGTGAAGGGAAACAACTATCTCCTGAGACCGTCCACCCCGCTTTTGGACATCTCCAGTGTGTTCCTCTTTGGGAAAATATTGCATAGATGGAGCTGAAATCTGTCTCTCTGCAATATTCCCCCTCCCTCCTTGTTCTTAGCTTTATACTCTGGTGCCAAACAGAAAAAACCTAATCCTTCTTCCTCATAGCAGCTCATTACATACTTGATAGTTATTATACCTACCCTGATTATTATAAAAGAAAATCTTTTCTGTAAGTTAAACATATCAAGTCATTCATCTGGTCCCTACATGGCAAGGTTTCTAGTCTCTCCACCTTCTCTGTCACATTCTTCTAGACATGCCCCAGCTTATCAATGTCCTTCCTAAAATGTGGTGTTCAGAATTGGACACATTATTCTAGATGTCATTGGACCCACCCTAGAGTGGGTAAATGACCTCTCATCTTCTAGATGAATCTAGTCTTCTCTGAATACGGCATAAACTTACACTCTGGCTGTATTTTCACTGTCCTCACCTAACAATGTCCAGGAGATAGTAATATTCTGGGAGAATTCTACAGAACTCATGTTTTTCCCCCCACCCTGGCTCTACTGTTATCTTCTTGAAGCTAAATATCCCTAATTCCTACATCCCATCCCGACATGGCTAGGTCTCCAAGGGCTTTATTATCCTGGTCACACTTCCTTATTGAGAAACAGAACCTGAGGGAATTGGGTATTTGAGGTGAGGGCAAATATTCAAGATAAACTTTACTGTTACTCTTCTGCCTACCGCTGGTCCTCTAGCTAGCATAGCAGACTTGGATGTGACTAAAAGATTCATTTGCTTTGATTTGATAAAGCTCAAATGAGATTGCTATGAAAGCACCAATAAATGTCATATTCCTTGCCCTAATGGAGCTTACAATCTAGTAGGTCTAATTAGACATGTACACAGTTAAATGATGGGGAGTGGACCTGTGATTTCACTGGTAAAGGGAACTCCCAGATGCAAAAACTCCCTCTATCAGTGCAGGTTGGCATCTTCCCTGAAACTTAGATATCATTTTAGAGAGTTACTTGGGGCACTGCCCAGTAAGTATCAGAGGTAAAACTTAAAGCCAAGTCTTCCTGGGTCTGAGGCCATTGTTTTCATAAAATATGACACAAATTAGAGTATGACACACATATAAGAGGAACACAAGGTACTAGTTGGTCAGATAAGAGGAGGAAATAACGTCTTCTTGCTGCATAGTGGGATATTGAGAAGGAATCCTAGGACTCTTTCACCAGGAGGGTAGCATTTGAGCTGTGCCTCAAAAGGAATGGGAAGGATGTTGAAAATAGGAACTGCTGATGCTAAGTGAAGTGAGCAGAACCAGGAGAACATTGTACATAGCAGCAGCCACACTGTGCGATAACTAACTATGACAGACTTAGCTTTTCTTAGCAATGCAACGATCCAAGACAGTTCCAAAAGACTCGTGATGTAAAATGCTATCCACATCCAGAGAAAGAACTATGGAGTCTGAATGCAGATCGAAGCATGCTATTTTCAATTTTTTTTGTTTTTTCTTTTCCGTAGTTTTTCCCTTTTGTTCTGATTCTTTTTTCACATCATGACTAATGTGGAGATGTGTTTAATATGATTGTACATGTATAACCTATATCAGATTGCTTGATGTCTTGGAGATGGGGGAGGGGAGGGAGGGAGGGAGAAAAACTTGGAACTCAAAATTTTATAAAAATTAATGTTGAAAACTACCTTTATATGTAATTGAAAAAAAATGCTATTAAGGATAAAAAAAAGACAATGTGAACTGGTGGAAGGAAGAAGAGGGATTCTAGGCATAGGGAACAGTGTGGGGAAAGGTGCGGAGGAGGGACTGCCTGGAACCTAACGGGGGCTAGGCCTCTGTCTTGGGGCCACTGTTAAAACAGTGCTTCTTATGCCAAGTTCCACAGAGGAAATGGGAGTTAAAGAAAGATGGAAGATGGTGGGGGGTGGGGAGAAATGGGACAAGGTGAATATTATAGAGGATAGAAGGTCAAGCTGGCTACTGTGTCCTTCCTCCGCGCCCCCTATAGTGCAATTGTGGAGGTGTCAGTGCAGATATAAGAAAATGCTTGTCCGGTGCCATACTCATGCTAGATCTTCCGATCTATGTGCCCTGAGTCTAAACTACCCTAAATGTACAATACCTGTGAGTGTGTGATGGAAAGAGGACTTGACTTAGACCCTGGCTCTGATACTTACTAACTTTGTCACTTGGGGCAAACCCAGTTTCCTGTTTGTAAAATGAGAATTGTTACATTCACACTATCTTATTTACTTTACACCGTCATTGTGCGGAAAGTATTTTGTCAGCCACGAAGTGCTATGTAAATGTGTTATTCTTGTTGCTAACAGATGCATAAAAGAACTCATACCATTTTGAATATATTAATTAGCCTCTGACACATATTAGCTGTGTGACTGTGGGCCAATCACTTAACCTTTCAGTGCTCTAGGCAGTTCTCTGAGACTCTAACTTATAAAGATGGTGCTGACATGTATTGGCAGAGGGAGTTTTCTTCAACCTTGGGAATTCCCTAAACCAGTGAAATCACAGGTTTAATTCCTATCTTCTGATTAGCCAATGGCAAGGAGTACTACCATACTTCAGGGATATAGACATGCCTTAAATGAACTGCCTGCCTCCTGGGCTCCTTCAGATCTGAGGGGAGAGCGAGATGGAATCGTAGTATTATTGTCGGCTTAAGAGCTGGAAACAACCTTAGAGAAAATGTCCGGTCCCCCTCCTTTTACGTATGAAGAAACTGAGGCCTAGAGAGGGCAGTTGACTTTCTCAGATAATATAGCCATTCAGTAGCAGAATGGGGACTCAGACTTAGGCTCTCTGATTCTAAATTGAAAGCTCTTTTGCATAGAAAGGGAAAGAGGAAAATCAATTAAGCAGTTATCAACAAGTATTTATTTAGTACCTACTATGTGTAGGTACACTGAGGATGCAAATATTAAAAAAATAATAATCCCTACTCTCAAATAACTTACATTCTATCAGGGAACACAACCTGTCTCTGTGGGTATGTGTATGTGTGTGACATACTGAGTTGCCTGCCCCTCTCTCTCTCTGCCTTCCTCCCCCTCTCTTAGTCTCTCTGTCTTTCTGTCTCTCTTTCTCTCTCTCTCCATACACACACACACACACACACACACACACACACACATATGCATAAACATATAGGTGTGTGTGTATACATATGTACACCCATGGAATAAATACAAAACAAATACATAGTAATCAGAGATGGTGGGAAGTAACAATTGTGGGGAATTAAGGAAGGCATTGTGCAGAAGGTGGTTCTTGAATTGCATCTTAGGGGGATTCTATGAGGAACAAATGTGTTTTAGGATGACCAATTGCAAAAGCTCGTGTGAATTGGAAGGTGGAGAGTTGGGAGATGGAGCGACCCATGCGGAGGAACAGAGACCAATTTGGCTGGACTGTAATGTAGAATGAAGCCAAACAGAGGACCAGAGGCAATAGGGAAAAGATAGTAAGGAGTTACAGCCAGGAACAGTTTGTTTGGGAAAAGTTCAGAATAACTTGCTTAGATTTTAATGTTGGACTCTCTGGTCTCAGCAGCCTCCTCCCTCCTCCTCTCTCACCAGCTTCATCACCTTCTAATTTGCTCCAGATAAATCAGATTCACCCAAGAGGCCCTTTGGGTCACCCCGTGGAGTGCTTGGAGAGTGAGTGTCACTCTTACCTGACAGAAAGGAAATCTATTACAGAATGAAAGGCCCCATGCTTTGCTGATGAAATATTCATGGTGGTCATGGGAAAGGCAATGTCGTCATTGTCATTTCGATTTAAAGGAAAGGAGAAGTGTCTGGAACAGGGAAGAGTCTGGCAAAGGGCTGCTTTGTGCCTTGGATGCCTGTCGGCTTAATGTGGAGGCAATGCCTGGAGTGTAATCCGTGAGACGCCTTTGAAGTCAGACTCGAGAAACATTTCTCCTTGGTATTTGTCTTTCCCTCCTTGTGCATCTCTGATTGCCATCAGTCCTTTGACTTTTGCACACATCCTCAACATCCACTTTGAAAGCATTTCTGACCTTAAGTAATACATACAATATATACCAATAAATTATAATTATGTCACATTCTACAGTTTACAAAGTATGTCCTTCACAATAGACCTGTGAAGTAGGTAGGGCAAGTATTAGGAGCCTTATTTTATGTGAGGAAGTTGAGACACAGAGAGGGTAAAGTGACCTACCCAAGTGTTCTGACTTCACATCCAGCATTC